TCAACAACATCAGAGTTGGGTGATCTTTTTTTGGACATCCCAAGCCTAACAATAAAACATCAACAACATCAACAAGCCATGTCTTTTTTGGTGCTCTCCCAGCTTTTTCTTCACTTGACCCAGGCAACACGGGGAGGTCTGCCGAGTGGACTCCAACTTTAGTTGCGCGGCGATCACGGGGAGTTTTGGCCATGGAATCCATGGGGATGTTCCATCGCCATAAAGGTGGACATTTATGGTGATTTTATACCGACGTTGACTGGTCGTTTCTACTAAAAATTAGATGATGATCCCTGATGCTTACATGGTGGACTTCCAGTGATCGACCCCCTTTTCCCAGCCATGGATCATCTTTGATTGCCATAGAAATAGTGGATTTACCCACTATAGTTAATCATAACTATGTTTAATGGGTAAATTAACTAACATAGTTAATCTAACATAAACATAGTTATGTGAGTTTACCAGCGGGTAGTGAATTTTGCTTTGCTATGGCTTGGTATTGGTGAAGTTGGTGAAGCTGGTGAAGTTCCGATGTCGACATGTCACCGACTGCTGACATGCTGACATACCAACCGCAGCTCAGATACTGCCGGGGTGACATCACTCAACCTTCAGTCGTATGATGCTTGGCGCGGTTGGTTTGTCTGAAAATGTGGTACCCCCAATTTGACATGTGCAGTATGAGCAGCCTGATGAGCATCATCCCCATTAAAATGGCGAATCGATGGGTGTATACATGGTATAACTACTGTATAAGCGATTTTCAGTGCCCAGAACATCCCACCCCAGAGGTTCCTCCCAGGATGCGCTATGGATGGCCATGAACTGCTTGTAGAACTGGAAAGTCAATGGGGACCTTGGTTTCCCCAAAAGGTTTGGGAAGTTTAAGACTCCCTTGAGACTTTGGCCATTGCTACTCTCATCAAATCCCTTTTTGATAAGAAAAAGGCGTGGGTTGTCCGCACAGGACATCATAAAAAAAACGTGAAGGGCTGGTTCCAGCACAAACACTGCCATGGAGATGAACTAGGCGTTTCTGATAATTAGTGATTCAATGTGATTCATAAATATTGTTGAGGGATGTTTTTGGGGGTGGCTCAACCACCATGGTATTCGATTTCACCAAGATTTATCCAGTGAAATCCCCGTTATGTTGATGGCTTCTTCGCCCAGGACTCTGAACTTGCATACCTGAAGCCTGGCTTTGAGGCCACAGATTTCTAGAGATCTGCCTTTAAAAGTCGGAAAATCCAAGGATTTTTTCCAAATCCTCAGATAAATGTTATAATCATTATAATCATAGTTACATCCTCATTAATGATTTTTGTTATCAATCCAACATTTTTGTGATAATAATCATCGCCAGATCCAGCTGTTACTCAGCTCCACAGCTCCAGACAGCTCCAGTGCAGGTGAATAACTACGCATATCTGGCGCCCTATCAGACGTCGAGCTACTACGCGTCGGGTAAGATGGTGAGGTGCCAACCTGGTGCCACTGTGGCAACCTGCGACCTGATCCACCGTGAGGGAACAGTCACAACAAACTTCTGTTATAGTTCCTATATGGACTCTAAGATTAAAGAAATCATATACAGTATGTCTATATATATATATATGTCTAGTAACTATAGTTACAGTATCTAGAACAGGTATAGCAACAATTAGCAGTTATATTGATAGTTATTGATAGTTATTGTGACTGTAACAGCTATAGCAACTGTCAAACCTATTGATCTTCCCAAATCTGACAGGTTTGACCTGGGCTCTTTCAGCAGCGTTGCTCGGTTCACGATGTGCGGGAGGATTAGGGTATGTCAAGTCATTGGGTAACGATGGACTGATTCTGAGTGCTTTAGTGCGCCAAGAAAAGCAGTGTGTTTTGCAGTGCTGCCGAAACAGAAACTTCCACGCCATTCCCAACCATGAATTCTGTGCTCCCAGCTGAAAAATGCTGGAGAATTTTCCACAGTTCCCCGCAGCTGTTTTTTTGATTGGCCATATATAAAGGGACATCAATTGATCACAAAGGGATACATGATATATGTAATATATGTATTGAAATCCACCAGCAAGTTGTAGTTTTTTTTTCTCCATGGCTGGATTCAAGATATTCAAGTCCAACATATTCGACCGTTTCGACATATGTTAAATCTCACATGTTTGAATGGTGATGTTTATTTTGAGGTATCAATTTTACCCTCTGGTAAATTAACATGGACCCTGAAAATAGCCTAGTTTTAATGGAAACTAATCTTTCAACCCCTATCTGCCAGGGTCTATGTTAATCAGATGCGATCATCGAAAACCCACCACTCGAAAACGTGAAGAAAAGGTCGACATTGTGGACCTGTCCTTGAGCGATAGCAACTTGAAGCAGTTCCAAGCTGCCATCACAGACGGCACCTATGGAGCCTCGGCCCTCTGGGCGATCTGTTTTTATGGGAAAACCTTGGATCAGTAGGTTACTACTATTGGTTATTATTAGGAAAACCTTTATTAAGAATAACCTATCTGGATTGTTATCTTAACCAAAGTAATCTTATTACTATTGGATTGTTATCTTAACCAAAGGTTATTATTATTGGTTATCCTTATGCTTACTATTGCGAGCATTGTTCATTCTTGTTCTCATTACGATTGCTACTGTTGTTGATTATTGTTATTTGCTAAATCTTTTTTTTCTGCTGGTCTTGCCATGAATGGGGATTTTTCATTTAACAAATTTAGCCGTCAGAAAATATATGTTTTATTGGAGGCAAACACTACGACGAAAAGGTGATATCAGTTGATCGACCTAAATCCCGAGATTTTCCCCCAAAAAAAGGGTCATGGAATTATTGGTTGATCTTATTTATTGTTTGGATAAATCACTTAGAATAAGTTTTTTTTCCTAAATCCCGAGATTCTCCTTAAAGTGCTTTGTTTATTAATATTGTTTCTGGTTGGTGTCTAATTTTTGCCCAGATCTGGGGGATTTCATGCAGAGATGTTGAAGAAGTTTGTCAGCTGAGCAGAACAAGGCTGCAGCCTGATATGGAGAGACAAAAAGATTCGAATTCGGTAGAAAGCAGCTAAAGCAGCCAATTGAGTCTTGTACCTTTTGCTGCAAAGAAAGGTATGTTTAGTATGTTTTGGTCATCTTGTATCCGCATTTTCCATATGAAACAGCGCTCATTTGAACCGCGCTCGACCATGGCCTGAGGATATCTGGTGCCCGACTACTACGGCAAGGCTCTGAAACCATGCCAGCCTTCGTCCTACCAACGGAGTCAATTTGTTCAAAAAGCTGGCAATGGTATGCCTGATAGGAAGCTGGTAAATGGGCATAGACTTCCCGCAAGAAACTTGGAATAATTATCATGGAATATCTCCTGTGTGTCCAGAAATGTTTAGAATATCAATGGATCATCCTGAATGTGTAGATGATGTTCCCATTGAACATTCTGATTTCCCGTTGTCATCTTAGGTTATTTAGGCTCTTTTTTTCTGGTGGTGATTGGATTAGGATTGAAATAGAGATGCTCCTGGCCGAAAAAAGATGTTGAGTCGGTGGTTCTGATTCTGTTTCTTATCGATTGAAGCCAAACGTGTGAGTGGTTGATCCTAAAATATCATTCGTATCGATTGAGCCCTCCAGCAATTGAAACTGGCAACACATAATGCTTTCTTTTGAATATTTCAATTAGGTGACAAATTATGAAATAAGGCTTTTCAAGTGCAGTGTTTGGTTATCTTGCAAGCTTGGGCAAAGCTACTAACCACACGGTATGTTCAAACATGGAAAAACATGGTGCGTAGCCCAGAATTGCCATGGGAAATGATGATCAACAATGAGATTTTGGAGTACCAAATCTATCAAATCTCGGCCAACAGATCAAATAGACCATGATAGACATTTTGGTTGGAAATACTTCCAAATCGTTCCCCTTTTACAAAACGCTATCCCAGTTTTCGGCCCCTGGTCCCAAGATGTCCCAAGTTCCGTTGATTTGGTTTGAGTTATATACCGTATATACGGCATCAGTGAAGACCGATGGATCTCATGAACTACCAGTGAATTCTGCCTTCCGCGGTGTCACCTGGAACTTTCTCCGTCACTTTTCCGTCAACATAGAGTACAATCAGCCAGAAACCAAATTCAGATTTTGGATGACAGGATTTTTTACACTCCACGAGGCTTCAAAGCGTCTTGAACTCTCAGACTTGTCCTTCAATATCGAGAAAGAACTTCGATACTCCCCACTAACATCCACTAACCAGGTTTACCATTTCTATTTACAAGTTGCTCCTTCCTGCAGTGCCGGCCAATTGCTATCACATCGACATCTTCTCCTTCTTCAAGTTTCCGTTCTCTTAGATTACTCCACAATCAAGACTATGGGGGAAGTCTTGCACACTCTTCCAGTTTATTTCTCCTTTCTGCTGGTACGACATACTCTCCTTCCTTCCTGTAGAATTGGGGCAAGGACTGGTCTTCATCCAATCGACATCCTCCTTCAACTCTGAGCTATTGCTAGCAGGGGCCACCAGTCGCATGCCGGGAGTCGTTCCTGAAAGTTCTATTTTTTTCCTTTTTTTCAGAATAGTCATCCAAAGCGAGAGACAAGTGGTCACCGGCCCTGCTGTGTGTCACGGGACTGGATTCCTTCAAGAGACTTTCTGCTTTGTTTGATCTTTTGTCCTTGCTTCGGTGCTTTTGGGGTCAACCTTCCCAATTTCATCGGGTCCCGTGCAGGTGGATGTTAACAGCGCCCCAGCTCTCAAATTTGTCCTTTCATTGTCATGCTCTCCTTTTTCTACTGTTGTCTCTCCAACTTTCTGATGGAATGCTGCTGACGTGTAGTTCGTCGTGAACGGCATATCGCTGCGGAACAAATACAAACACAAACGGCAATATACAACATGTTTATACCCATTGCCCCTCATGTTTTTTTTTGTTTGGCTTCTTTAAATCACAGCCCAACTGTAGCACGCAAGCCGCACGGGCCCTGGCAGATGGCGCGCTTCCAGTTGGATCCGTACCAATTGATCGACTTCCAAGATGTGAGCAGTTGGACGCTGCGCAGCGGGGGGACGGAGAGGCAGGAAAGGTGGAGAAGAGCATAGTGGCATAGTATGGCAATACTTAAGTTTTGAACAAAAAAGGACAGATCCAACATGATCCTGCATGTTTTTGTCTACCTGCATGTTTGTTTTAGTGATTTGGTGACTAGTGAATGGTCAGGAACTACGGTGCTTGAAACTACGGGATGTTACGGGTGCGAACTGGTTTACAGATGATCGTCCTATGTAAACGAAAACCATCCATCCTGCCAGAGTTCCATTGAATTTCAAGAAATTCCCAATGAGGTATCTATTTCATCTATTTCTTGCTACCTGGAACTGCAAGTCGTCCACCAAGTGACGCAAAATCTTTCATCCACTTTTGGTCATTTTTGGAATCTGCTGTGTTTGTCCACACCCCGTGCTGTATCCCGAAGTGCTTGGGAAACCAAGGAGCAGTTCCGTGTCGAGTGGATTCTCTGATGGCAACTACATCTACCTCTACTCTGCTTCCTGGAAAAAACATGAAAATTCCTGCATTTTTCCCCTAGGGATCAGCAGATGTTTCAGCAGCTCCTTATTTTTCACCCATTGATTCTGTTGTGGCTTACTTAGTAGTTGGAATCTCTAGAGGTTTTCCTGGATACGCAACTATAAAACCACCAGTTGTGATGATCAACGTGAATGAAGTCCATCCGGACAAGGATTATCAAGGGATGCCGGAAAATATGTTCACAAACCTGGAAAATCCCAAGATTCAAGTTTTCTCAATAGAACCATCATTTGTATCTTTATATATATATATATGTGTATATATATATAGCAATGCATGAAAAATCAATGACCTGTTGAACATGATCTTGGCATCAGATCTGCACGGGAATTATCCCAGTACAGCCTTATTTGAGGTTGGTGAATTCTTATGAATTCTTGTAATTTGCCGCCATGCTTAACATCATTTAACATAATGTAGAATCCATGTTTAAGCCGTGTTTTTGGGCTATGTCCTGGTATCCAATAGTGAAAATAGGATGACCTTCGCCAGCGAGGGCTCTACTGGCACGGTCTTGCGCGTAACCTGGGGCATTCAGAACGAGGTCCGGTGATGTCCGGATAGGTCCGGGCTTTTTGGCAGTGGATTTTTATGGAACAAAAATGCTGGTAAATAAAAGAACTGCCTATTTCCAGTGGTGATACCAGTAGATACCATTCAAAAATGGTATCACATAGCGAAATATCTACTAAAAATAAATATGTTTCCCTAAATGGTGATACCATTTAGGTGATACCGGAAGTGATTTTTCCATATCAAATAGATAAGTATTGCTGGTAAAAAATACTGGTTTTAAGTTTCCATTTAGGTGATACCGGAAATGATGATGCTGGAAAATAAGTTGATTTGTCCTATCAAATTGATGTGTTCTCAGACAAACTTGCCAAGTATGTTTGGGCCATAGGGTGACACATCAATTGCATCGACCGGGAGTGGCTCTTCACAGTCCGAGCTGGGCATGCCTCAACTGTAAATCCAATAGTCAACGGCCTCCTCTAATGGTTTACCTCATGTTCCATCAGCATGTTTTTCTCGTTTTTTTTTTCATACATTTTTTCCCCCAGCTGGGGATTGCTATCAAAATTCTCATCTGTCATGGAACATATGATGATAAAATATGATAACATATGATAAACACCAATAAACTACAACTATTAAGTGGTCAGTCTATCTTTCCAGCAGTCGATAAACACCAAGGTGGCTTTTCAGTGACCCGACCGGCCCGACCGTTGGTCGATTCCTCTGTGGCCGACCATTGGGTCTTGTGGGATACAACGGATATAGAGATTTCACACCAACCTATATGACATGGGATATGCAAAAGCTAGTTATTTTGATTGTTATTTTGATTTCTCATCTTCATGGTGTTAACTCTGATTATTCCCATGATCCCCCTGTCTTATTGGGAGTTCCAATAAACCATTCCTTTGGGTACCGGCACCCGCTGTACCCTTTTCATCATCCTGCGGAGAATTGTCGAATTGTCGTGCAGGAAATCACATTGTCCGGCACTGTCTCTGGCTCCTTGGTGGAGTGACTTGTGACATGTTGTGACTGGTCAACTGAGCTCGGAAAGTCACTGTTAGTAGCTCAGTGACTCCCGGATCAACCATAGACATGAAGGATCTGTCGATCCCTGAACAGTCAAGTGGCTTTTTGATAAACAAGAATCGGATTTCACCAAGCAAATGGGGATCAGAAAACAGTTTGTGTTTCTTTATTTTTTCTGGCACTGGCTTAGACGTTGTCGTCTAGGCTTATCATTCTCTAGCTAAATACATTCTGGATACTGGGATCTACTGAGTATTGCTGGATACCTCGGGGGGAATTGACATCCGCTAGCGGATGGTACTCCATGGATTGTCATTCATGGTATCCTCAAGCTTCTTTCCCTCATGACACAACATGATTGGCTCACGATTGATTTGATTGGCAACATTGAGGTGTACATCATGTGCTGTTCTAGTGTAATATGCTAGAAACATACTGAACGGTTTATATTTGAGACAAAACCCTAGGGTATTCCTACTACATTGGAGGATGCTCACAAAATCAATAATTGGTTGCAGTGCTGACTTCAGGCTTGAGTGGTGGCTTCTATGTGCAGAACAGCTTATACTTCTTTGATAGCAGTGACGCGCAGGCGGGCAGCCGTAGTTTTTTTGGGTGTCAGGGTCTGGGGTGGATGAGTGAATTGGTACAAAACTTCCATGGATATCATGGCATGGATGACACGGTTTGGTATCATGTTTCCGTGTTAGTTTGAGATTGGATCACTCTATGGATCACAGCTGTGTCGGAAAAAAGGGGAGCATTGGACTGTTGGAGTCATCTGGTTTGAACCCCCAGGTGACCTATCGGCTTTGCGCAGAGGCCGCCAATTATGATGCGGACGCAGCCAGAAAACCATGATGGGGTTAGATCATATATTAATATATTACATTTATTTACATTCACTATCTATAGATGTGTAGATTATAATCCATGATATTCATATTCTGGGGTAAGAACTCGCAGATATAGGGCCCGGCCAACATCCAGTTCTGTGCTTGAGATCCACCCTGGCCGCCGTGATGGAAAAGGGCCTTTTTATAGATGATTTACCTGTTAAAACTAGAGTTTTCCAAAGCTATTTTCAATTAAGGGTATTTATCTATCTATCTATCTACCTATCTATCTATCTACCTATCTAACTACATACCTACATACCTATCTACCTACATACCTACCTAGCCATCTAGCTATCTAGCTATCTAGCAACCTAGCTATCTTGCTACCTACCTACCTACCTACCTATCTGTCTATCTATCTATCTATCTATCTATCTATTCCCATCCATTCCCATCCATTCCCATCTATGGTACGCGCCTCGCATTTGACCCTCCCCCAATGGTTTCGCATATGACCCTACCCCCATTTTGGGGTAGGGTCGAATGTGAGAAAGTAGCGTTTTTAGCTGGGAAAAGAGGGTCCCGGAGATGATGATGATCATGATGATCATGATGATGATGATGATGATGGTGGTGGTGGTGGTGGTGGTGATGACGACGATGGACGATCATGATGATGGTGATCATGATGATGATGGTGATGATGATGATGATGATCATGATGACAGCGATGATGGTGATGATGATGATGGTGGTGGTGGTGGTGGTGATGACGACGATGGACGATCATGATGATGGTGATCATGATGATGATGATGGTGATGATGATGATGATCATGATGACAGCGATGATGGTGATGATGATGATCATGATGACGGTGATGATGGTGATGATGCTGATGATGATGCTGGTGACGATTTTGATGATGACGGATGATCGTGATGATGATGATGATGATGATGATGATGATGATGATGATGATGATGATGTGTGTGTGTTTGTTTTACTTAGCTGGATGGAGTAGGTGATGTGAAGGAGGAGGGTGATGTCGCTGATGAGGAGGATGATGATCTGAATATAATTGTTCAAGGGGGGCTGGTTGATTTGATAGCTATGAATATAATTGTTCAAGGGGGACTGGTTGATTTGATACCAATGAATGTCATTGTTCAAGGGGGGCTGGTTGATTTGATAGCAATGAATGTAATTGTTAAATGTAATTGTTCAAGGGGGGTGGTTGATTTGATAGCAATGAATATAATTGTGCAAGGGGGGCTGGTTGATTTCATACCAATGAATGTAATTGTTCAAGTGGGGCTGGTTGATTTGATAGCAATGAATATAATTGTGCAAGGGGGGCTGGTTGATTTGATACCAATGAATGTAATTGTTCAAGGGGGGCTGGTTGATTTGATACCAATGAATGTCATTGTTCAAGGGGGGCTGGTTGATTTCATAGCAGTGAATGTAATTGTTCAAGGGAGGCTGGTTGATTTGATACCAATGAATGTGATTGTTCAAGGGGGGCTGGTTGATTTCATACCAATGAATGTAATTGTTCAAGGGGTGCTGGTTGATTTGATACCAATGAATATAATTGTTCAAGGGGGGTTGGTTCACGGATGTCTGGTTTGAGGCAGGGTAAAGTGGGGTAGGGTCAAATGTGAACCGGGAAATGTTGTTTTTTCCTGGAAGGGCTGCGTATTTTTGTTAGGGTAGGGTCGAATGTGAGTGCGTGCGGTTCTTTTGGAGTAGGGTCGAATGTGAGGCTGCGGTAGGGTCGAATGTGAGGTCCGTACCTCTATTCCCATCTATTCCCATCTATTCCCATCTATTTCTATCTATTCCTATCTAAGAATCTATGCCCATCTATTCCTATCTATTCTTTTCTATTTCTATCTGTTCCTACCTATTCCTATCTTTTCCTATCTTTTCCTATCTATTCCTATCTTACCCTATCTTATCCTATCTTATCCTACCTTTTCCTATCAAATTCTATCTAATCCGATCTATTCCTTTTGTTTCCTATCTATTCCTATCTATTCCTGTCTATTCCTATCTAATCCTATCTTATCCTATCTTTTCCTATATCCTGCCAAATCCTATCTGATCCTATCTAATCCTATCTAATCCTATCTATACCAATCTATTCCCATATTGTTCTATCTTTTCCTATCTTACCCTGCCTAACCCGATCTAATCCTATCTAATCCTACCTATACCAATCTATCCTTATCTATTCCTATCTGTTCCTATCTATTCCTTTCTATTCCTATCTAATCCTATCTAATCCTATCTATACCAATCTATTCCTATCTATTCCTATCTATTCTTATCTATTCCTATTTATTCCTATCTATTCTTATCTATTCCTATCTACTCTAATCTTTTCTTGTCCTTTTATCATCTGTTCTTATCTGTTCTTAACTAATCTTTTTAATTCCTATCTATCGATCTATCTATCTTTCTTTCTTTTCTTTTCTATCTATCTATCTATCCATCTAACTATCTATCTATCGATCTATCTATCTATTCTCTATCTTTTCTATATCTATTCTTATCTATTCTTGCCTATTCTTATCTGTTCTTATCTATTCGTTTCTATTCTTATCTATTGTTTAAATCTATTCTTATTTAATTTTAAATCTATTTTTCTATGTTTTTAATCTAGTTTTTTCTATTGTGTTATCTTTTATAAATCGATATTTGCTGTTTTTTCTAGTCTATTGTTAATCTATCTATTTTTATTCATTGTTTTATCATTTTAAATAATTTTTATCTAGTTTTTAGCCATTTTTTTTTATCTACCCATTTTTACCTATCTATTGTTATCTATCTATTTTCATATATCTATCTTTATCTTTCTTTACCTATCTATCTTTGGCTTTTTATCTTTATCTATCTATCTTTAACTATCTAACTTTATCTAACTTTATCTATCTTTATCTTTATCTTTATCTTTGTCTTTATCTATCTATCTATCTATCTCTATCTATCTTTCTCTATCTATCTTTATGTATCTATCTTTACCTATCTATCTTGATCTTTTTCTATCTCTCTTATCTCTCTTATCTATCTTATCTTATTTTAGCTAATCTTATCTTATCTTCTTTAATCTTATATTATCTTATTTTATCGTATCTATATTTCTCTCTTATCTTACCTGATCTATCCATCTATCTACCGATGTATTCCTATCTAACTATCTATCAGTCTATTCCTACCTATTCCTATTCCGATCTATTCCGATCTATTCCTAACTATTCCTATCCATTCCTATCTATTCCTATCTATTCCTATCTATTCCTATCTATTCCTATCTACTCCTATCTACTCCTATCGAGCTTTCTTTCTTTCTTTCTTTCTTTCTTTCTTTTCTATCTATCTATCTATCTGTCTGTCTGTCTATCTATCTAGCTATCTATCCATCCATCCATCCATCTATTCTTATCTATCCATCTATTCTGACCAATCTATCTATCTATTCTTCTCTATCTATTCTTGTCTATCTATTCTTGTCTATCTATTCGTATCTATCTATTCTTATCTATCTATTCTTATCTTTCTATTCTTATCTATCTATTCTGATCTATCTATTCATATCTATCTATTCCTATCTATCTATCTATCTAGCTTTCTATCTATCTATCTACCTATTCCTATCTATGCCTATCTATATAATCTGTTCCTATCTACCTATCTATTCTTTTCCTTTCTTATCGTATCTAATCCTATCTATTCCCATGTATCTATTCTTATCTATCTATCGCTATCTATTTCTAACTAATCCTTTCTTATTCCATCTATTCCCATCTTATCCTATCTATTCCTACCTTATACTATCTTATTCCTATCTATTCCTATCTCTTCCTTTCTATTCCTATCTATTCCTTTCTATTCCTATCTTATCCTATCTAATCCTATCTATACCAATTTATTCCTATCTTTCCCTATGTGTTCCTATCTGTACCTATCTATTCCTACCTAATCCTTTCTAATCCTATCTATTCCTTCCTATTCCTATCTATTCCTATTTATTCCTATCTATTCCTTTCTATTCATATCTATTCCTATCTATTCCTATCTATTCCTATCTTATCCTGTCTTATCCTATCTATTCCTGTCTTTTTTCCATCTTACTGTAGC